TTAATTATATACTTTTAAATACTTTAGAATTTAAAAATTAAATGAGAGAAAAAAGTCAACGGGAGCTGAGGACTTTTTGCATCTTAGAAGTGGCTTCTAAATCACTGCGGTGTTTGAGTGAGCAAGTAAAGAAGTAATTAAGAAATAAAGATTTGGTACTTGTAATTTTATTTGAAATAGTTTATGAAAAGGGACTGGAACTTTTACAAGAGACAAATGACTGTATTTAAGATTCCAAATGTTTAGTAACAGCACTGTGATATTCATTCTTGAGAAATTAATAATTAGTACTGATTAGGATACTGTACATAGTCTTCAGTCTTTATAACAACAGATGGTATTTGACTGAAGTTCCAGTTAGGTGTAGATTTTTTTCAATTTTTGCCTAGATTCACCTTGATGTTGTCATACAATATTTTCTTCTTGTGAACCTGAGACTTACGAACCTGGAACTTGGAGTTACTGTCACCTACTTGACATACGTGTCTGGTATTCATATTGATGGGGGGGCGTCTGCATTGAAGATCTCCAACCTAGAAAGGAAATGTAGGTTTGTCAGTGTACAGTGCTTGTACTGTGCTTTGATAATCCTACATGTTGGTTTTCTACCTAAAATATATGAATGAAAATACTGCTTTGTATGTTGCATGTTTGGAGAAACTGATCTTAAAAAATAACGATCTGTTTAGCATGTTAGCACTTTGGACTAGAGAAGTAGTTGAAATAATAAAAATAAAATATAACACTTCAGGAGCTGTTGATGAATTCAGTGTGTGAAACTCCAGTTGCCTATCAGCTTCTGTCTGCTGTCATGAATGAGTGTTTTCTCTTGTTTTCTTAGCTTTTTTCTTTTTTTACTGTCATTCTGTTCCTGTTTTAAAATTAGTTAGAAGATTATGAGATTTATTAAGGAAATTTCTTTTAAAAAAATAGACTCCCATGAAAGCAATATCTGGTGCATTGTAGCATAGTAGTCATTGGGTTCCATCCAAGTTGATTGAATTAATTTTTTACTGTGGTATGTTGTACGTAAGCTTCAAGTACAGGGAATGACATGGGAGTAAGGCATTGTAACCACCATTGAATAAAAAAAAACCTTACATTTTTTGGATAGCTAAAAAAGAACACTGAATCTTGTGGGACCTTGTGAGAGCTCTGATGGGTCTTCCTTAAGCCGGAAAAACTCCATGGTTGTAGGGCTCTTTATCCTATTGACAGTAGAAGCTTTCTAAAAAAGCTGAAAAATAGCATGTAGGGCGGAGGAAATATTAAACTATCCTGATTTTTATTATTATGTATCTCTCAGTGTGTATTGGAACCATTTTCTAAAACTTTCCTAAGAGGCCACTACTCAATGAACTTTATCTAGATGAGAGGTTCAGAGAAGCATCCATTCTGTTGAGGGATTGGCCAACCCAGCCCTCCAAATCTCTTGTATCTGTCCATCATTAAGTGAAACCATGATGTGCTGAAATCCACTTTTCGCAAGTATTGTTTTCTGATGCTTTCATAATTCTCAATTTTGCTGTTCACAGAGAGCGAAGAAGTGTACCAGCGCCAGGTGCTGTCTATTTCCTGTATCGTCTTTGGCATAGTCGTAGTCGGCATGCTTTGTGCAGCGTTCTACTTCAAAACAAAGTAAGAGCCTTCATCTAGTGTGTTTGTTATTTAGCTTCTGTCCTTTTTACGGCTTTACAATTCTTCAATTGCTCCCCTGCTTTTGAAGCTGTCATTATCTCTGGACAGGCTAGAACAGTTCCCCATGGCTACACTATCTAAGGCAAAAAAAAAAAGAGTAATATGTGTTCTTGTTTCTATTTTGTGATATTCAGGAAAGAAGAGATTGTGTCCTTTCCAGTTCTTTTTCTGACAATAATAATTTTGAGTCTTTTACTATCCGTGCAATAATCACTTTCCTATTTTGAAAATAAAAGTTTAAACATACCATCTCCTTTTTGCATTTCATTTCATATCCCTGAATGTCCCTTTTGTTTCTGTATGCTGAGAACAAAGGTCAAGTTTGAAATGGAGGAAGAGACAATTTCTCTGCAGATATCTGTAACCTGTAGCTAATAGTTGTAAACTGCTGATGTAGTTGCATAACTGAGCATCTGTAATGCACAAGCACATTGAACTATCAAAGTATGGTAGAATCATCTGTACTAAACTATTTTCAAGTTAAATACTTTCCACTCTATTTTTTGTCTTCCCAACTAAACGTTATTTTATAATATTTATTGTTATGTGTGTAATTTGAGATGCAAAAACCTCATAGCAATTACATGACATGCTTGTCAGTGCCACTGTATCTATAAATATGTTCTGTATGGTTGTCATCCCTCATTCCTGTTCCAGCTGGAGCTGATGAGAGAACACATATCAGTACAAATAGTACCTGCGTGAGGTTAGTCATGGTGGCTGAGCATCAAAAATGTGGAGGTTTGCACTATTTAAAAGTTTGGATGCTTATCTGAATCCCCCTTTTTAGAATTTATTTTAATGGGTAGGAAATCTGATGAGGACTACTTTTTATTTTTAAAAATGTAAAATATTTTTACATTTCTATTGGGGGGAAAAAAAAAAAAAATTGGAAAAGTCACCAGATCTTTTTTAATTCTTTTTCATCCCCCCAAACTTCAGGGGTAGTTTGTGCATTATTTGAGTGAAGATTTTAGTTCATTCATGTTTCCTCTAAACACTCCTACCTGTCCTAATGTCTTGAGGGATTTTGTTTAATTGTTCTTTGGACCTAGATTATGACAGTGATGCTAGCTGGGAGGATGCTGTGGCAGAACAGTTCCTCTCTGCAAACTCCTTGGTTATAGTATAAATTGTGAGCGGAGACAGCCATTTTCCCACTGCATTAGAAATGTCATTATGCATTTTAGATCTGCAGAAGAAAGAAAGAGAGAATAAGGTGTTCCTATTCTTCCTGAAAACGCTTGGGCTTTTTCCTGATGAAGAGAGATTCAGAAAAGGCAGAATGGGATTGTCAGTTGGAAGAACATGCAGTCAACAACTGAGCATAGTGTGAATAAAATGTCCCTCTGTTATTCAGCTGTGCGCCTCTTGGTTGTGCACTGCTGTAGGGCGTGGTGGAGAGCTGGGTTGGAACAGCCTTCCAAATACCGTGACTTTGATGAGGGTGTGTGGAAATAATGCTTCAAAACTCACAAGACAATAGTGCTTCATATCTCAGCAGGAGGTGCGGGTGTTGCGTTTGGGTTTTTATCTGCATTATAAATATGATAGTTAAGAGTTACTGGGAAAAGTTGAAGTGTGCTTATGCCAGATTCTGGGAACTGAAGTTTGAAGAGTAATGAGAAAATGAGCACCTCCAGTTCAGTCAGGAGGTCTTATCAAATATATGAAACACAGTAATGATAAGATACTAATCAATCCCTAACTCCCTGGCTCCGTCTGGCAAACTGTCCAAAAAGTAAATAAGAGTGTCTAGACTGGGTTGCATAGAGGCCACATAAAACAGTATCATAACTGTGACGTTGGCCAGTGTCTTAAGGGTGTAATTTAAAGTGCCTCAACCCTTATCATATGTTAGCTTTAGGACGAGAGGAAATGGCCTCAAGTTGCGCCAAGGGAGGTTTAGACTGGACATTAGGAAAAATTTCTTCACTGAAAGAGTGGTCAGGCCTTGGAACAGGCTGCCCAGGGAAGTGGTGGAGTCACCATCCCTGGAAGTATTTAAAAGTCATACAGATGTGGCGCTTGATCATGCTTAAGAGTTATCAAAACATTCCTCCCGCATGGGGGATAATCCTTGGGTTTAATTTGATGTTGCAAAAATTCAAAATATTGCTAACAGCTACAGAAACTCTGCATGGTGCACCCTTTAAGAAATATGACTCTTTTAGTCAACAGATTTTCAGGAGCTTCTTCATCAGGCAGATGTATCTTGATCATGCTTAAGGGTTATCAAAACATTCCTCCCGCATGGGGGATAATCCTTGGGTTTAATTTGATGTTGCAAAAATTCAAAATATTGCTAACAGCTACAGAAACTCTGCATGGTGCACCCTTTAAGAAAAAAGTTTCCATGAAGACACTGACCCTGACTTTCTTAGTCTGACAATTGTATAATACCTGCTACTAGAAATACGCACTTCCCTATGCACCATTAAATTAAAAGTCCTTCTTTAAAATAAATTCAATCTGAGGAAGTTTAGAACTATAATTAAACACTATGCCCTTCCAATTATTCCTTTTAGGGTAATCAAGAAAGTGCTGTAAGTGTTAGCAACAGAGGGAGAGTACAGTAATGGGCTGCTCTTTATGGCTTAGACTTTTATAGATGATTAGTGACTTTATTTCTTGCTGAAGTAACAACACTTTATTGCCAAGTATCTCTAAAGTAGAACACATAAGGCCCATTTGTTCTGAAAACAAAAATTATAAAATAAATATATCAATCGGTGAGTAACTTTGAATTATTAATGGTTTCTAGTTTTATAACTGTGCATCCTATAGTTTGGCAAAATGAATATGCATAAACCTAATATTAATGTCAGGTTGCATGATCATAAAAGGAAATTCATTATTAGATTGTTTGTCTCAGTAAATTACCTTCCGGAATCTCAATTGTAACGTAAAAGATTGCAGCAGTGAAGCTGAATATTCCAGTTTACTTACATGTGTTTATAGATGTAGAAACAACTCTAAACCCAGATTTTCTAAATAAATCCAAATTAGAGTTCTAAAAATTTGTAATTTGTTTTGTTATTTTCCTGATTAAATTCTAAGACCATTGTATGTATAGGAGAGATTCCCAAAGTCTGATGCTGTGATCACGTTTCACTGGCATTGTTTAGACTTTATGTGAAGTGTCTGCTCAAAAACAGTCATCGAAAAAGACTGGATGTTCCATAACCATTATAGAGACCAACATGCAAGTGGCTGGCTTTCCAGTAGGACATACAGATATATATGCTGATTTCCTCAGAGTATGTAATTTAGCTGGTCAGAAAATAATTATTCATACAAACTCTAGAGTTGCTTTTATGAATTTACCCTGGAATTTTACGAGAAGCTAAAGAGTTCATTTTGACATTTTACAAATTATATTATTCAACTTCATTGGTTTCAAAAATAAGTAGATATCAAAAAATGTTTTTAAAAGAGAGGTTTCAGAATCAACTGACTAATTAATTTAATTTGATGCTATAATTCTTCAGATTATATATCTATTCAGATTATTCTGATATTAACTTTACAAGTTGTTTTGGCTAAGGAAGAATTTTGAAAGTTTAATAAGCTTTTGTGCTTGAGAAATTATTTCCTCGCCCACACATATTCATAAATCTTACTAATTATGAGCTCCTAGCTGTACTCTGAACATGCCACTCATATTTGTAACATGCTTACAATGTAAATTCATTCTTTTTCATTTGCCATGCTGTTTCAAAATAGGATGCAAACAGAAAGCATAAGAGATACTTATAGAGTCCGAGATTTATTATAGTTTATGACCTGTATTCAGGAAACGTGCTGTAACAAATACCTACTTCTAAGCAGGTGCTTACAGCTTGTTCAGTTTAAGCAAATGCTTAAATTGTATAATGCTGAATCAGAACTAAAGGACTGAAAGGCAGAGGAAATCCCATATATTTATTTTAATATATTGTATTATTAAAATTGAATATCTGAACTGTGATACTTCTCACTGCTTGCTTTCATATTGAGGGGACTTGTCCTTTCTCACAGTTTCTCCCCTTGATCACTTAAGTAAGTCATTTTCCTCTGGTTTCTTACACTTTTCTGCACTAGACACAGACTGCACTGAAAAAAGTTAAAATCACTTCTGTACTTCATTTGATGTCAAATTCATTGGCCTGAGCCAAGTAAGATGCTATCAAACTTGATGATATCACAAGGCTTTCAGCAGCAAAATCATCAGAAATTTTTAAAAATGTGGCTGAAGCTTCTTTGCTAAAATTTCGAATTTCAGTATAGAAAGACTATATTTCCTTTATTTCTTACCGACACTTCGCTGAAATCACTTCCTTCTGAAATTTGGCTCTGCACCGATTGCTGTCCAAAAGCTGCTGGTGGCATAATGAAGTGCTGCTGCTGCTGAGTCCTTGACATCGCTGGGTGGTGTCCAGGGCCTTTGTAGGTTTGCTGCTGGAGATGCATCTGCTGGGGAGAAAAAGGAAGAAAGGAAGGAAAGAAAGAAAGAATTAAAATAGTATTGTGGAGTTATTTCTCATGATCCTTTAAAACTGTCTCAGACAATGTAGCTTATCAAAATGGAGATTGATAAAAGACCTTAAATATATTTTGCTAACAGATTTTGCCCAGCTGAGATATGTGTTTGCAGAAGATAAAAGAAATATTTAAAATAAAGTTTGCTGCCTCATATCCTCAATCATGTACAGAACTTTAAAACTCAGTTTGCCACTATAGTGTGGCAGAAACAGAAATCCTTTATTAATAGTGTGGTTATCTCCTGAATATTGCAAGTGATTCATCTAGTGGTATTCCTAGCTCTGACATAGTGGATCACAGTATAATATGTCAAAAACACAGCCTCACATACCGTACTGATGGTTTTTTCTGGGTTTAAGCGTGCAAGCAAAAGCCGGTCTCTAGAAGAAACTGGGTTATAGGTCAAGTCTAATCAGCTACTAGCAGAAATCTTTGATTCTTCGACACTTCTTATAGCCAACAGGGGCTAGTGCCTGCTGTATTTGCCAAAATCTTTGTTCCAAATCAGAGCAAAATGTTTTTTTAATATTCAGGCCTACTTGCAAGCTATTGTTAAATATGTTACACAATAATCTTACAAAATTCTGCACTGAAACAACGAGCATGCTATTATAGTAATCTGAGAACAGAAGATATTTTAAACAGAAAAGCTCTTTTTTTCCATCTTAAGCCTTGCCAGGAGATGACCACTGCATTGAAATATTAGACACTAGTGAACTAGCTCAGCTGGTTAATCTAATACGGTGAAGTTTTGAACAAAGGGAACCATGACTATAAAAATATCGTGGCTATAGTAGAAGATCAAACTAGCTCTTTCTTACATGAATTTTATTTCTCTCTGCAGGAAACAAACAAAGCAAATTCATGAACAGCTGAAAGAAACACAGAATAGGAAAACGTACAGCCTAAATGCTTCCAGCATGATGGCAAAGTCAGAGTGTATGGCACAAAGCCGAGTCCAGCTGCAAAATGTAAGTAATCCTGCCAGCTACAACACTTAATAGCCTGGCTGAGTTCCTGCTGCTGATGGCAGCACATCGCCATGTTGCTATTAGCATCTGAGCAATGGGAACAAGAATTCTCACCTCTTTCATAAAATGTTTTCTATCAGGCCTGTTAATGGAAAACACCAAGCAGGGATTTTTTTCTAAAGTTATTTCAGCGGATCCTGGTACGTTTTGTTCATAAAATAGACCTTAAGCCCCCTAGCTCTGCATCCAGCGGTGGAAATTACTATTATAGTTTCCGGCAAACCCTATCTCATATGTATGGTTTATAGGTGAAGTGGGGGTCTTTGATCTTAAGTGATTTCAAGTCTTCCAATAATTAATGAGCCTGCATGAAAAAACTTAGAGATCTGTCACAGTTAATTCAGAGGAAATTCAAAATCTAGAACTAAATTTACACATGTAAACTAGCGTCCAAGGGAAAACTGTAGAGATGGTCTCATTTTCCTGCATCTTGAGTTAAAGGGATTTTTGATACCAGAGACTAGTTTGTTCAAACTAAATTTGAAATTTATTTAGTCATTTTCTGTATATAGTTATATGTAAGTTAATACAATCCCACAATCATGAAATATCTAAAGCGTATTTGAAGTAAGGAACTTGAAGGTGGGCCAATTTATTTAGCCCTGGATGCAAGGTATTTTCCAATGCATGTCATTCTCTTCCCCCTGGTCTATCTTATTTTGAACAAAGACTTTGGAACAACTGAGAAGGATCCTGGTAGCAATATAATAGGAAATCACAATAGATGTATTGAAGCCTTTCTAAATGCTTAACTCTTTTTTTTTTTTTTTTTAAAGTATCTTAGTTTTGCTTAAAGGGCTGACTACTTTATTTGCCAGATTCCGTCAAAATAGTGGGAGTTTAGCAAAAGTGAGCACTCATGCCCACTTAGCCACAGATGTCTCAACTCCTGGTTTACATCCAATTAATGTAGAAATAAGTATAAGCCTTTTTAACCAATTCAGAGTAAGCAGAGCCTCCATGCTATGACAGAGGAGTTGTCAGAGCATTGCTTGTGTTCACTAGAAGTTTTGTTTTATAGGAGCACCATTGTGGTCATGATATGCTTTGTGGTTCAGGAAAAATACGCTATTTCAAGAAGAAAGATAGCTCCACTAAATTGACATAATCACAGTTTAGGGAACCTTGTGGAATTCTTTGTTTCACTTTCAGTTCATTCAGTCATATATTATTTCTAGCCCCTAAAAAAAAGCTGTTGGGAGTGTTGTTGGGTTGTAATGATGGCAACAAAAGGTAAAGCTTTTGTGATCCTTTTGTTGTAACATATAAAGTAGGTCTTGGTTAACACTAAGAATATGTTCTGTGGCTTTTTCTCGCTGTAATTCAGTGCAATATTTTGTCAACCCATCATCACAATGAACTATTTGATGTCTTCTGAGCAGCTGACAAACACATCAACAAGCTTTATTTGAGTCTTTTTCTTTTGCCATAACAATAGCCATAATGGCTGAAGTAGCAGTTTGTAGATTCCAGTTATTAGAGATTGAAACCCATTATTATTATTTATTATTTTAATCCAAATTTGCTTTTCAGCTTTTAATGCTGTTAAGACTGGCATTATCAGTGCTGGTAATTAACACACCGTTTTCTTGTTCTTGTGGCTGCTTGCAGGCAGCTGTTTTCTCCTTGCCATTAATGTATTTTCCCTTTGGGAGCAAAAATACTAAGGAAGAAAAACAGAATGACCTTGTGCAGGATGTAGCGTAACAGTGCAGGGTAATAATGGTTTCTATCGTTAGCAAGATTTTAGTGATCCCTGTAGGCAGTTCATGAAATATTTACAAAGCTTGGCAAATTGGAGGGGGAAAAAAAAGGGTGGGTGGTATGGCGAGGCAGCAGAAAAGAACTTTGAAATGGTATTTCATAGGAATGGCTGCGTGGCTGCCCATCAGAGACCAGAGCTCTGCCCCGGGGTGTATCTGCTGGGTGGGAAAGGGACCGGGGCAGTGGCGCGGGGAGGAGAGTGCTCCCACTGTCGCTCCTGCAGCTGTGCTGCCGCCTTTCTGCCTGTCACTGCCGGGATGTGATCTCTCTGCGATTCCCATCCTCAGCTCCCACCACATGGGTTTGGGGAGAAATCTCAGTTCTCTTCATTTCCAGGAGCCAATAAAGAAACTTAAATAAATTAAGGTGGTTTTTTTCTGGAGACTAGTCCTCCAGTCTGGTATTTTGGTTTATGTAATTCTGGAAGCCGTTTCTTTTCCCACTCCAAGTGCTCCTCTTACATGGTAAAACTGTCTTGGTTGTATGCCACCTCTCTCTCT